TTAATAATGTGGTTTCTAGTGAGATTATTTGGTGACAGTAGAAAATGAAACATTTTTTCTCCTTTGAGTTTTTGTTTCAATCATGCATGGCTCAGTCTTCAGGGTAGTGTCTTTGGCTCAAATGAAAATCATAAAATATGTTATCTTTAAGGGTTCTGATACCTTATGGGACAAGAAATTAATAAATTTAACTCTATCCCCTATTTTTGCTTTGATTTATCCAATGCCACATAGATCTACTGTCAGAAGTGTAGTGTTTCTGGGTCTCAGTTCACTTTTCCTTTTACTGTACCTATCACTAGAACTTTTTATTAAGTAATTATAAAGAATATTATGATAATTATTATTACTCATTATTTAGCTAAATATTTCCCCACTAGTTTGTTCACTTTCGACCCTTATTCAATGTGTGTGGCACATAATGAAAACGATTATTTAGTGGAACATTATTATTTTTTTTGTGTGTGTGTGAGACAGAGTCTCACTCTGTTGTCCAGGCTAGAGTGAGTGCCGTGGCATCAGCCTGGCCCTCAGCAATCTCAAACTCCTGGGCTCAAGCAATCCTTCTGCCTCAGCCTCCCAAGTAGCTGGGACTACAGGCATGCACCACCATGCCTGGCTAATTTTTTCTATGTATATTAGTTGGCCAATTAATTTCTTTCTATTTATAGTAGAAACGGGGACTTGCTCTTGCTCAGGCTGGTTTCGAACTCCTGACCTCGAGCAATCTGCCCGCCTTGGCATCCCAGAGTGCTAGGATAATAGGCGTGAGCCACCACGCCAGGCCAAGTGGAACATTTTAAGAAAGAATTTCCTGTGAAATATTTAAGAGATTTCCAATACTCAGGATGAATGGAGTTTCATTCTCCAATATGGAATTGTAAGTTGGTATAACCTTACTGGACTGAGTTTAGCAAGGGATATCAAAAATCTTAAAAATTTTGATCCAGGGGTTCCATTTCTGATATATTATTCAAAGGAAAAACTGATCAAGTCACTAAAATACAGAGATACACACATACACATAGGATATTCATCACAGCATTGTTTAAAACAACAATAAATTGGAAGCATACCAAATGTCCACTGGTGGGGATTGGTTATGATATATACATACCGTAGATATGCACAAAAAATGCAGCCCTTCTATTTCTTGGCATCTGATCAAGTGTTTTCATGGGGCCCTAATTTATTGAGTAGCAGTGTGGTAAGGTTAGTGGTGGATGACTGAACTTTCATTGTGCCATTTTATGGAATTAGAATCTTGTGTGTTTTAAACTCTCTGGAAAACTGTCTCTTTGGGGCCAATGCACAATGTGTTGGGTTTTCCTTCTTTCCTTCTGCTCCTTTCCAAGGTAGCATCTCAGATGATCTTGTGGTGGCTGGGTATGAGTGGGAGGGTTAGGTTTCTGTGATGCCCACTACTAATCTCTGCTGTGGAATTGCGTATCTGAGGTGCGACTTGTCTCATCTGGCCTTTTTGGAGTAATATTCTTGTATTCATTGTTGGAAATCATAGTCTCAGACATTTACTCCTGGTCTCAGAATGTGACCAAAATCCATTCTTCCCCTCTTTGATGGTAAGCAAGTTAGACATGTGGCTGCCCAGCCAGAGACTACATTTCCCAGTGGTGTTTTGCAGATAGATATGCCTGGAATAGGAACAGAAGTGATATATGTGGGCTTTAAGACATTGTGCCTACGTACATTCCTCTGAGTTTTCTTTTCTCTTCCTGTAAGCTTGAAAACCTATGTGCTGCGAATTTTCCTCCCCTGGGATGAAGTTGGAACACTTTTTGGCTATGTGAGCTGGGCAAGAGATCTAGAGATCAGACTTATTCTTAAGAAGATTTTTGAACTGGTTTTTCCTATTTTCCTGTTCCATCCCTCATCCCGTTCATTTTTGTTTCAGGGAAACCTGGTATCACTTATGTCTGGATCCTCCAAGATTCCTCTATGTAATACATATTATTGGCTCGCAGGTTTCCTCATGCTTGGCTTACAATTCAGTTGTCTGAGTTAATTTAATTGCTAGTCTTCCAATCATTTTCCAGCTCCAAAAGTTTTACCACTTTTATACCAACTTCCACTCTCCCTATCCTTATAGGCTTATGTCTTAAAAAAAAAAAACACACCCCTTTTCTAGCATTTTGTGGGTTGGCAAAGGGAGTGAATAATATGTGCATGCTCATGTGATAATATTTGCTGAAGAGATTAGAATAATTTCTTACTTTCTTGCTGTTAGAATTTTTCTGTATTATAATTATAAATATTTTATTGTTCAGCTATAAAGTTAAAAGCATATTCCAATACTGTTTTTTTTAATGAAAAAACAAAACTATTTGAAAGTATATATTTTTCTGCTCATGTTCTGTCTCCCTCTTTCTACTTTCTGGATTAGAGAAAAGAACTTGGAGAATAGTTGCATTACTGAAGTCAGCAGTCCAGAACTTGGAGGACAGGGACAGGAAAAACAACAATGAATTAGGCACTTGAAATCAAATTGTTGCAAGTATATGGGGAAACAAAAGTCAAGTTAAAAACAGAAGCCAAAAAGTTGATCAGTAGGGTTATTTAATTTGATGCAAAGGTGTTTCTGCATATTTACATGGAGTGGATAAGAGAGTGTCTTATGACACCTCAAGGTAAGCCTACAGCAACAATGCCTTATTGGTCATAGAAAGAAAAATCTATCCAGCACAGAAATCTTACTGTATTATTTCCTGTATCTCACATTACTTGGATATAACTATGAGATATAAGTGCAATTGGAAATTATCATTTCACTGATATTTTTAATGAAATAAATGTTCCAATTACTGAATGATGCTGGCTACTTGGAAATTAATCCTCTATGTCTTTCAGAATTTGACCCAGTAATACCAGACCATTCACAAATAGGGAAAATAGACTGTACATTTGATGGCAAGGAAGGAGAGACTGCATTTTAGAAGGGAACTTTCTCAAGTTTATTTAAGAATATTTAAGAACATGGAGTGATAGTCATACAAGTTAAGTTAGAAATATCAATTTAAATAATATTTATAATATGATTCCAATTTTGTCAAAAATCTGTGTGTGTACATGAACATAGGACAAAAAGCTGAGTTTATGCTACAAAATGTCAACAATGGCTTCATGAATAGTTTGTTCTTTATACTTTTTTGTATTTATCATATTTTCTATAAAGAGTCTGCTTTTATAATAAAGAAGTATTGTTTATAAGAGGATTTTCTCTCTCAGTTTCTAAATCAATCTCTGTCTTAGTCTTTTCCAGCTGATGTAACACAATACCACAGATTGGGTAATATATAAAAAATAGAGACCAATTTCTCACAGTTCCAGAGGTTGGAAAGTCCAAGGTCAAGGTGCAGACACAGCTGGTGTCTACTAAGGGCTCGCTTTCTTCTTCCAAGATGGTGCCTTGTTGCAGCATCCTCTGGAGAGGAGGGACATTGTGTCCTCACATGACAGAAGGGGAGAGGGGCAGGGCAGCTCTCTGAAGTCTCTTTTATAAGTGCATTAATCCCATCTGTAAAGGCAGAGCCCTTATGACTTAATCACTTCCCAAAGGCCCCAACTCTTAATACTATTGCATTGGGGAATAAGCTTCAACATGAATTTTGGAGAGACACAAACATTTTAGTGTTATTGTTATTATTTTTAATAAATAGGTTATCCTAGAGTCCAAAGGCATTTTTTTTGGTTTTAATTATTATTTATTTATCTACTTTGTTTTAGAGACAGGGTCTCATTCTGTTGCTCATGCTGAAATGTAGTTGCCTGATCATAGCTCATATAGCTCACTGAAGCTTCCTGGGCTCACGCAATGCATCTGCTTCAGCTAGGACTATAGATGTGCACCACCACAGCTGGCTAATTTTATACTTTTTTTGTAGCAGGCATCTCTCTATGCTGCCCAGGCTGGTCCCAAACTCCTGCCTTGGCCTCCCCAAATCCTGGGATTATAGGCATGAGCCACCACACCCAGCCAGGGCACAAACATTTTAAACCACAGCAATGTTCAAACATTATCTTTTCATTTTAAATTAGATCCTAAGTTTTATTAAATTAGAAATGAACATTTCCTCAAAGCCTTTATAAGTCTCCCCCTGCTTTCATAAACTCTTGTTTTTTTTTTTTTGGTGACAGTCTATTAAACTATTCTTGATTTCCTAAAATAAGAGCCAACTAAACCCAAGTCTGCATAGAAACATGTCATTGTATCAGATAACAAACTTCCTTGTCTTCTTTTAGACCACATTGCAGCAAAGACCAAGAATTGGTGCTTCTGCTTACAGATGGTGGTGACAAGGCTGCTAGTATCATTTCACTGTGGGAGATGATAGAACATTAAAGCTGGAATTATAATGTGGATCCTTCTAGAAGAGAGGAAAAGCTCAAGCAAGTTGCTCAAGGCCTCATGACTAGTTTTTAGCTGACCCAGCTGAGATAGTCTGGCCTGCATTATTCTAAACTGACTCCACAATCATTTATTCCATCTTCCCATTCCCAAATGATGTGACTTGACTTAATTGGCTTGTTTTATGGAGGCTTCAGGTATAGTGATGGACTTTTGTCATTTTAAAATAATGGAAAACCCTCTTTTCTCAACAATGTTTTTTTCATACACAAAATAAATTAATATTAACAAGCTCTCTCAGGCTGGATACTAAAGTTTTGAGGAGAAAAAGTGCCTTATTCACTTTACAGGTATTTACTTAACATCAGGTTTGAGTATGGTAGTTCAAAGCCAATGTTACTTATTTCTGAAAATGAGCTCCTTAGTAGCCTATGCTGTTTCATTCAGTCTTTTTTGGATGGACTTACTCTTTGAACTCTGGTTTTATCTTCAGAAGCCCTGGGTTGGGGTTCAATTTCCCCACATAGTAACTATATGAACCTATTCAAGTTGTTTAACTTCCCTGATCATCCAATGATAAAGTGCTAAATAATCACAAAACATTTCCTTTAACAATGCTTTATACTTAAATTTGTGATTTCCATATGAATCCTCCAATTCTTCTCATTAGAGCAACCTAAGAATTAGGCTCCCAAAGTAGAACACCTTAAATTGTGTTCTCTTTCTTTCTCTCTCATACTAATGGACCTTCACATATACCACTCCTTTCTCCTTTTGTTTCTGAATACTTAGATTAAGGTGATGTAAGTTGCCATTTACCAAAGGGTGCATGTTGGGTGAAAGGAACCAGATGGAAACTCAGCTGGAGAAACATAGGAACTCTCTAAATGAGAAACAGCTGAGTTGGGACAAGGACACAGAGTGAAGACTAAACTGTGTCTTTGCAAGGTACAAGAAGACTGGCTAAATTACATTATCAACCTGCTTTCTTTGCTGTTGCATTGGCGGCCTCAAGACACCATTTGGGTTGGGTTCAATGGTGACTGGGGTGAGGGGTAGGGAAAGGCTGAAATCCTGCCTGGTTGTTTTTAGGCTATGCTTGCCCAGAGAAGTCACATTCTTTCCTAATTTGCACAAAGATGTCATATGGATTAGTGGTAGCTATGGTAGAATTAGTCTAAATTTCAGCAAAAACTATTATGAGTAAATAATGAATCACTGAGAAAGAATTGATTTTTCTTAGATTAGGCAGGTCAGGAAATGCATAAATTATAGCAAGGATTTAGGTTAGACCAATGTGGTTTTGCTCCAGGTTTTGAAAGAATAGATAAACCATCTTTCTAAGATGGTCCTGGATCATTGATAATGCCTGCTTTAGTAACCCCAAAGACTTTTATGAGACCATGAAGTCATTGCAACAGAACTTCACATGTCTTTCTAGTCTTCTCATTTGCTCAACCAAAAACTAAATGGTGCTCACTATTGAAATGGTAGAGAGACACATACTGTTGACAACTCATGTATATAAAGATTCCGTGACTCTGAAATATCACCACAAAATACTAAACCCAGTGCCATTAATGCTTAATCTCACTTGACTCTTGTGAGTGGAGTTTGGAGGGGCTTCCTCTTTTACTACAGACCTAACGTCATTGCAACTGTCCCCTGGCTCGCTTACAGCTGCCTCCAATCTTTAAAAGGGGGAATGAGACACTTTAGTTAGGAAGCAGGCAAAATAAGGTCACAGAAAAGTCAGAGTAAGGTGGGCTGCAATTCTTCTTCTCATGCATTTCAAATTAAGAGAGAACGTAAGGGTTAACTATAAAGTATTCCACCTTGAACCCCCGCCCTCTCTTTATCTAGCGCACCATAATAAAAGATCAAGAGTTCCTGCTTATTATTTTATTTTTCCTCCTTGCTCCACCAGGCTAAGGCCCAGTCTGGTTATGGATTAACACGGGGATCAATACTAAGCCTGCTGTCTCTCTCCCGGCAGGGGAAAATGAACTCAAAATGCAGTCAAACTCTTATTGATCAAGGATATAGGTCTCACTTTCATTACCTCTGTCTCCTGATAACCCACAAATAATGTGATGAGTTGCTAATCTCTCTGATTTTCAATGGACCCTTCACCCCTCCTGTCTGCACATTGCAGCTTTTATTTTCATCCTGATACACACTCTGTGTAATTCATGTAGCACTAACTCTCACTCTCCTACCGTCAGACCTGGTCCATCAGAGCTAATAATATCGCTCTTCACTGGGTGCGGAGGCTCCAGCCAGTTCAGAATATAGTGGCTCCAAGCGTGGCAAAGAAATGCTATGTGCAGACTGCTTCTTTCAAGGGCAGAGAGGCGGGAAGCCTTCTTGGTGAAGCGACACTCAGCTTGGTAGTAATCTTCCCAAGATGTGAGCTGCTTCTACTGAAGTAGTCCCAGATTTTACAAACTTACCTGTTCAAGACTCTTGAGTGGCCAATTTCATTTTGGCCACCTCTTTTCAGAGGATCTGAACAGACTAACACAAAGCGCTTTGCCACTGTGGTGCTAGGGGAGGGTCGGTCCCCTCACGCTTGGTGCCAAAATGACCACAGGAAATTTTCGTTAAATAGCTGTGGAAAATACCATGGGATAAGCCTAGAAAAAAATCAAGGTATTTAAAATATAATATTGCATTGATTTCTTTAATTAAAGGTAGTGTGGTCTGACAGAAACTACACGGTTTTTGAGGCAAAAGCTCTATTTCACATTCTTGAACCTTCCACCGACTCAGGTAGGAAAATGAGGACTCTGTGCTTGGAACAAAATCACTTCACTTTTGTCTGGGAAATTCTCGTCTTGCTTCAGTTTATGAGATAAAAAGGGACCCAAATCAATGCTTTAGAAAAGTGATTACCTTCAGAAGCATGGTTACTTTTTGGTTTGTTAATAACTCACCATGACCTTCCTACTTCTTTTTTTTTTTATTCTGCAACTTACTACTTTTTTAAAGCTAAGCAAAAAGAAAAGAAAAACAACCTAACTTCCATTGTGTGTGATGTCACTTAGGCATTTAGCTGGTAAGAGATCCTCAGGTATAAAATGGCACTGACCACAGGTATTGAAAAGAGTGTGCTGAAATTCATTACTTTCCTCTGCTGGATTGTTAGAGCTGAATTAAAGCTAACAACAGTCGCTTTCCCTCCCTGATACACAATCAGGGAATGCTCACCTCACTGAATCACTGTTGTGAGGAAAGTCATAATATTTTCTGCTGCCAAGCTGATTAAAGTAACTCACAATGAAACAAATTCCTCTTTCTTGAAGAAAATACCCAATGACCAGTAGCAACTAAGTGAATACTCGGCTTGCGTTCAGCCTGTAGGGTCTGAATGCTGTTTTTCAGCTCCAGTGCAAACAATTTGTACACCTGTTGAAGAGAAAAGAAGATATGACAGTGGTACAAAGTCTGGGGGATTAAAGAGATCTGCATTGATCTCCTAAAGCTGAGGTAATTGCAGGTCTCATTTTCTCCTTTTGTTCTGCAGAGCTGCGTGTGAAATTTGACTAGGAAGTCCTCTCCTCCTCTTTTTTTCCCCCCCGCAAGGGACTAGGTGGAAGTTTCACCTGTTTTCCAACCCTTTCCTCTCTGCTGAGTCTTCTTTGAAATACTGTCCTTTGGCTTTGTAGAAAAAGATAAAGGGAGAACCAAAGTTCAGACCTTTGTTTATTTGGCATATTTTGGAACTATGTTGCATGGCATGCTCTTTTTCCTGTTGCTTTAAAATCCCGAGAGAATGAGAGGAAAGGGTGCCTGTTTAAGGCTGTCAAGAAAGCTTACCCTGCTTTTCATAAACACAGGAGGAGAGTGCACTCAACAAATCCTTCTCCCCTCTCAGGGTTCTCTCTGTCCTCATGGTGTGCAGTCTCGTACACATTCACACTCTGATTTGCTATCCTTCCCAGGCTCAACATATGCTACAGAATACCTTTGATGTTGCCATAATTGTGTGTGTGATCTTCAATCACGGATGTCATCAAATTTTATTAAACTTAATATAGATAAAACCAAGACATTATTGATTAGTTCTGCCATGCAAACCTCCCAGGCTTCCTCTTAGAGTGGTTTTCTTCTGGGGAAGCTGTCTTTATCCTTTCGATAATACTCATGCCCTTGGAGCCACTGTGGCTTCTGAGTTTTCTTTTGAAGCCCACATCAATCATATAATTAAGACGTCTTAATACAACTACAGCAATCTCGCCATATTGCGAGGCATGTTCTCGGGTCTGCTAGTGCAGTTTTAATTCATGTCCCTCTTTCATGTGGGCATAATTACTGCTGTTCTTTGTTTAGGGTTCTTTGTGGCATATTTTCCGTTGATCCAAATTTAGCCAGATAGACTCCTGTTTGGATTTAAACTTTTCTACTTTATTAATAGGATTAATTGAATTCTGACAAAGTCAGTCCGATTCTTTTTCCCCTTTCCAGATATCTTCTCAGCTACACTCTCCATGAATGCGGTCTGGTGGTGTCCACATGATTCCAAACATTCAGATGGAAAATGAAGAATATAGAAAATCTCCCAGATGTCCCAGGTGACCAGATGATTAGTGTCATGTAAACAAAGTATCCAGATCACTGATTTTTTATTTTTATTTATTTATTTATTTATTTTTTGAGATGGGGTCTTACTACATTGCCCAGGCTGGAGTGCACTGGCTATTCACAGGTGTGATCATAGTTCACTGCAGCCTCAAACTCCTGGGCTTAAGTGATCCTCCTGTCTTAGCCTCCCGAGTAGCTGGTACTACAGGTGTGCACCACCACGCCTGGCAGATTACTCACTTTCCTTAATATATTTTTCCACCTGGGTGTTTTGGCAGCAGGCAAACATATCCAATTTTTACCCCCATCCCTCATTCCACTACCCTCTTTTTCTTCCACCACTATTTTCAAATCTTCTTGTCTCTGTTTTTTTCTACCCATTCTCCTTCCCTATATTTATGTTGCAAATCCAATCCTAACATCTAATAGGAAAACATGGGATGGAAGGCAGGTGGGGGAAAGGGCCAGTGGTGGGAAGCTCAAGTTTGGGAATGAGACCTGAGCAGGTGGCAGTTCTGGCTGGAATTCTAATTAGCCATGTTTCTGTTTTATAAAACATACAAATTTTGTTCTCAACCAGATATCTACATTTCTCAGAAAGAATAGGGGACCTACATTCAGATGAAAGTACCACATTTCCCTGGGGGGGAAAAATCATTTGGTTTTTGTTTGATGAGGATTGGCCTCCTGCTGAACTTGAAAAAATCCTGCTCACTCTTAAAATGCAAGCAACAGACTAATAACCTTTTCCCTCTTCATGTCTGGAGTTGAAAGCATACGGTTCTTAGCTTAAATAAGATCACAAACTATCTTCACTATAGGTTCTCATTCAAGAATTATTTCATGAGTTGTTGGCAATTCAGCATCTGCTAGAGGTTTGTTCAAACATCTCATATTCATCTAGCATGTTAGATTTATTTTTTAAGTGACAGAGTAATGCCTTCCATTGTGCATGAGTGTTGTGAACCCAGTCACTCATGAATGTTTACAGGGGAGCTGTGTATTTGGGCAAAGCATTTACACTGCTTTAAACAAAACAAAACAAAACCAAGAAAATCCAGTTGACATTAGTGACTTTTTCACAATACCCTTATAGAAAAATCATACACTTCTTTCTGACTTGAGTTTACTTTCTAGACATTTTATCACTGAAAATGGGTACCTATCTTTTCTTTTAGTAGAAAAGGAAAACTGCTTGCCCAGTGCATGTCTTGTTTGGCTTTGGCTAACAAGAAAATGCCTCTAATCTTGTCATCAGTATCAAGCATCTCAGGGACATGAGAGCATCTGGTCCCTTTGCAGCCTTTGGAAAAGTGGTTTCAACCCTAGTGGCACGTTAGCATTATTTGAGCAATTTTTTTTTTTTTTAATATCAAAGGCTGGGATCCACCCCCAGAAATTCTGATTTAATTGAACTTTGGCTTGTAGCTTATTTGGCGAACCACTTTGGAAATTGGTAGAGTAGATATGTACAATAAACAAACTACATTAAGTCTTACCCTACGAATAAGACAGGATATAAATAAACATATACAGAATACAAATAAGCAAGGAAAGAAACTAGCAGTAGGGCCCCAGACAAACCACTTAACCTGCCTGGCTTTGCTTCCTCATTGTAATCACCGAGTCCCTGACTGCTGTAGGACATCACTGTGATCCATGGTTCCCTGCCTGCCTTCCTCAGTCCTTGGCCTCTCATCCCTCCAATTGGCCCAATCTTCTGCAGCTCGGATAATCTTTTATGCCTGCTGTTTCCATTCTCCCTTTCTCAAGACCCTCAAATGACTTCCCATTAGCTTCTGGGTCATATTCAAATTATTACCTATTGGTTTCAAGACCTTTAGTCAGGCAATCCCTTTTTATGTCACTTTTAATCTCTCCCCTTCCTGCTCCCTTTGTGGCTGTCAGAATCATCTTCACCAAGCAACCCTTCTTACTCTCTCTCTCTTCTTCTGAGCCCTGCTTGCTTCAGCCTATCAGGGAAAACTTTGTAGCGTATGCCCACCTGGCTTCAGCCATCCTTCCCACCATCCTAGTGTTTAACCCTTCCCGCAAACTTCACCTACTTACTGGTGCTTTAGAACTGTGTAACCAGGGTTTGTTGACATGAAGAAAGCCAGAGTCACTGGGTGGTTGCCCAGGGATGCTCCTCACACAAATCCATGGGGAGATGACCAAACAGGGGAAGGTATTAAAAAAAACACAGATGGAGTCATTTGTATTCTCTGCACACTATCCAGGTCACTTGGTTCCCCCCCACCCCAAATCACTAATCAATAAATTGTCTTCTCTCTCTTCTTGCATATGTATCCTAAGCACTACTCAGTAACTGCTTAAAATGGAAATAGAATCTAATACCCTGGATTTGGGGGCTAATGTGATTAATTTCTTGTTGCAGAATCTGTCAAACAGGAATTCAAGAATCAAATTGTCATTTTAAGGATGAATTCAGATCTCCTGAGATGGATTTTCTAGCTTCCAAGTGCAATTTACAATGGGTCACCAACTCTCCCATTTTTGGCTTAAATTTCTAATTGTCCCTTAAATAAAAGGGGAAGAAAGAAATTCATCTTACATATCTTGTAGCCTCCAGACATCTTCCCTTATACAAAATAAGCATTCAATACATGTTTTAATTTTTTTTGATGAAGTAAAACCATCTCAAAGCATTTTACCTTTTGGATTACTTGTAACAGAATCACTGGTTAGGGTGTTTGGGGGTGGTGGTGGTTTAGGAGATGGATAGGAAGTTACCTATTAAAGTTCAGGGGGCCTTACACTAATTTATTAAGTTTTAGCAAGCACCCAGGGAATTTTTTACATACATTAAGACCACTTTTTACATACATTTGAAAACCACTGCCTTACGACGATTTTCAGAAATACTCTGTTATAAACTTTATCTAGCTTTACTAGATATATCTTTATCTAGAAATACTTTATCTAGAAATACTCTGTTATAAACTTTGTCTAGCTTTATCTAGCAGAGTATATCAGCTCAGGTAAAACAAGTGCTCAATTAAGAGGCAAGAGGCTTTTTCCTACATCTTACATCTACACTGACATCTTACAATATGCAGTTACTAAGGCTCCGGGAAGCCAATCTTGCCCCTAAAGCTTCTGTTTACATCATTTATCAGGTTATAGAAATGAAATCAGAGTCAATTTCAGTGCAGTCCACCCTGCTAATGAGTTACTCTTGTTAGTTCTCTTTCAGTCCTGAGATTCTCTCCTTGATTATCAAATGGAAGAAATAAAACAGCAAACTACACTAAGTATTTTAAACTTTTTTTAATTCAAGGAGGCTTTAAATATTAAAAATGACAAAAATTATAATATATTCAAATTTATACTGATTTGAGGCTAACAACCACCTATTATACTGCAGTAAGAATTATTGTAAGATGGATGCAAAGAGAAATTCTGATTATCCTAACGAAACATTTCATTTTATGGTGTTCCTCAAGGGGCTCATGGTAAAGGAAACATACACTTTTAAGGACTGTCTGGGGAGGTGTTATGCCGCTTGCTTTCTGGCCTGTGTTGGACCACTTGGGGCCACTCCACAGAATGGAGGTGGAGGATGCCACTGTGGCATACAGGAAGAAAAGAAAAAGGAGCCAGAAATACCACATTCACACACATTTTCTTTTAAAACCATGTCAATGATTTCACAAAAATTTTACATCTCTTAGAGATTCCTACAGCCTGCATTTGAAACAGCCGCCCTATTCTTTGACTGCTTTGCCCAGAGTCCTTGGAGGACTGACACCTCTGTTGGAAATTTATATTGCCACGTTGACCACCCAACTGGGACGTTCATGGTTCATAAGCAGGATTTTACTCTATATAGTTAAGGGTTTATCAAAGACCTTTAGGATCCTGAAGAAAGAGAAAGACAGAACCAAGTAAAGGCTGTTTAAAATATATATTTTTTAAATTTCAGAATATATGGGGGTACAAATGTTTTGGTTAAAGGATATTTGATGAAATGTAAACTTTTTGAGCAAAGTGCCAATGATATGACCTCTCTCTCTCTCTCTGGAATGGTATGCATGCCATGGGATCATGACAAAGATGAATAAGTGTAATTCATTACAAAGTGCTCAACGACAGGCATTGTATGTAGAGTCAGTAACTCTCCTTATTGCTGTCCTTAATGCTATTTCTACTATTAACTGTACTTTCAATATACAAAAACATACACCATAAAATGTTCAGTGGAATTTAAAACCATGTTAGATTATAAACCTGAATACTTGAAAAGTTCAACAGTTGGCTCACAAAGCAATCCTGGATTTGAATTTTGTTGCTGCAGGGCCCAGCCACCCTTCAAAACATTGATCAAATCAGCTGTCTGCAGTCTCGGGAGGACCAGGCAGAGATTTGACGGGATGGTCAGAAAGACATCTTTGGGTTCTGGTTCTACCTTATGTAAGGTGTGACTGGTTCCCTGGGGTGGGCATTAGGCCACCAGACAACTTCCTCTCTCCCCCAAGCACATGCCTGTGAGTAGAATGGTTTTCCAATTCCAATGAATCTTTTATAGTCTTCTTTTATTTTTTTCAATGAGTTGCTTTTATTTTTGTCAACAAACTGTGTCATTTACCATGGTAAGAAAACTCCTGTTGTTCCAGGTCTTTATCAGAGTTCCTACAAATCAGGTTAATTGGTGATCAACAGAGTTTTTCTGCCTTTAATGAGGCCTAGTAGCCCAAGGCAAGGCCTACCTCTTGATAAGGGACTTTCTTTTTTTCTTATTCTGAACTCTTTGATCACTTAAAAAAAAAAAAAACCTGGAAGAACAACCACCGGGAATGTCATTGTTTTTTAATTGCCTGATTACCAAATGTTGGAGATAAAAGATAGATGTTCTCAATTAATAACATTTACATAGATTAGCATCACTAACAAGCCTCATTAGTAGCTGCTGATTTTTGTTTAGATGGTATCCCATGTCATTTGCGCTCTCTCTGATTGTGCAATAGAATGCACCTTTAGTATGACAAAACATCGCCTTCTAATCTATTTCCATTAATCAAACTGTAAGGCATTTTTATACACAGCCAGGTTTTTAATTAATTAAAAGTTGATATTACCTAGTGTAGATCTAGTGAAAAGCTTCATGTGTTAAACTTTCACAAACTGTTTCTAAACTCTGGCTATATTTTATAGACCCTAAACACCCTTATTGGATTAGTCACAACACAAACACATCTCCATTCACATAGAGGAGCATCACAGAAATACAGTCCGTTCAGTCAGTGCCTGCCGTGTGCCTCAGATATCACACATGCCATCTCATTAATCTGCCAGCAGTCCTGGGAGAGAAGTTATATGAGCATCGCCACCAAACATACAGGACAATGAAGACCCAGAGACGTTAAAATGACATGCCCAAGATCACTCAGACACAGCTCTGAGTTCAAAGTCCATGTTCATTTCTTTAAGGGCTATGTCCTGCTTTCCATATGTGTCTAGAAAAAGGATTCACTGATATTTTGAGCAGAAGCAAATATTTGGGATAATCTATAACTACCCACATATCCTATTTTAAACATCATCATTCGTTTTTAAATTTTTGCAAACAAGTGGAAATAAACAACTAAAATATGCAATAAATATGTTCTGTAAAAAGAAGGATTTGAGCTATCTAAATTTATAACAATCAATGAACAGCAAAAATCTAAAAAGGTAAATTTTAAAGATTTTATAAATATATACACATTTTATATCACTGTAAGTGGACAGGTGTACTATATGTTTGTTGAGAGGTTTTTTTTTTGTTCAAATATTTTGATAAAAATGTAAAATTATTTTTTTACATCTAATGGGAAATGGTACATTTCTAATATCATGACAAACATTCTGGGCAGAAACAAAAAATGTTTTAAGACTCTCCAAGATATCAATTTAAATTTCTTACAAATATGAGTATGTAAGCCAAAGAATGGATTAAAAAACAATCAATGTTTTTTTTTTTTTTTTTTTGAGACAGAGTCTCGCTTTCTTGCCTAGGCTAGAGTGAGTGCCGTGGCATCAGCCTAGCTCGCAGCAACCTCAAACTCCTGGGCTCAAGCAATCCTCCTGCCTCAGCCTCCCGAGTAGCTGGGACTACAGGCATGTGCCACCTTGCCCGGCTGATTTTTATATTATATATATTAGTTGGCCAATTAATTTCTTTCTATTTTTATGGTAGAGAGGGGGTCTCGCTCAGGCTGGTTTTGAACTCCTGACCTTGAGCAATCCGCCCGCCTCGGCCTCCCAGAGTGCTAGGATTACAGGCGTGAGCCACCGCGCCCAGCCAACAATCAATGTTTGATTAAAACTTTAAGGGAGTGACACATTTCAAAAAGCCAAAGAAAGAAATCCTAACATATTCCAAATTCAAAAAAAACATATATTGGTATTGGTTGTACAAAATGAGGTGGGATACAGATTTTTCTACCACTATTTCAAGAGGATCCCGATACAAAACACCAACTCCTTGTAACACAATGGATAAAATTTCAAAAGGAACACATAGGAAAAAGTTTTCTAAATAAAATGAGGTCTTTACTTTACTCTACTTGGAGTAAGGCATGTTCCTTTGCAATTACAAGAGGTGGAATGACAATTCTGAAATCGTATGGGACCATCTTATCAATGTTTTCTGTTTGAGTTTGTAAAGCCTCGAATGAGTAGCTTAAGTGAGAAGGAAGCATGTGATTCAATGTGGGCATAAGGTCCCTTGTCCTTAGTTGAAAATGGCTAAAATAAGTGACTACATTTTCTTCCTGCTATCAGCACTTTTCAGCGATCACTTTAAAACTACTTTATCTCATTAACTTTCCTCTCTCCTTCTTCCCTTCTATCTCCTCCCATTCCTACCACTCTATTTAACTGTTCTTCTTTGGATCACTGAGGAACTTCAAATGACAATGTCTGACATTCTTTCTCTCTCTTTTTTAAATTTCAGAATATTGTGGGGGTACAAACACTTTGGTTACATATATTGCCTTTGCACTGCCCAAACCAGAGCTGCAAGTGTGCCCATCCCCCAGACAGTGTGCATGGCACCCATTAGGTGTGAATATAACCATCCCCTCCTCCCCACTCCCACCTGCCCCATACCGGATGGATGTTATTTCCATATGTCCCCAAATTACATTTTCTCTGTCTCCATCTTTTTTGATCTCTGGGTAGTATTTGACACAATTCACCACCCCTCCTTGAAACACTTTCTTTGTTTGGCTTCAATTCTCTCCTGGTTCCCCTTTTCAGTTTCTTTTCCTCTCCTCCTCTACTCTTCTCAAGGTTGATAAGCTCAAGGGCTCAGTTCCCCATGCTCTGCCCTCTTGCTTTGTAAATACACTCTCCCCAAGTGGTCTCTCTAGATACTATCTAAACCATGATAATTTCCAGTTTTCTCTCCCAGCCTTGACCCCCTTTCCAAGCTCCAGATGCATTACCTAGCTGCTTAGTCTAGCTCTCCTCCTGGCTGTCTAATAGGAATCTCAAACTTAACGTGTCTTAAACACAAGTCTTGAGTTTCTGTCTCTTTCCACAGTGACTTCCACCCTACTGTCCTCCTCCAGTCTTCTCTCTCTCTCTCTTTTTTTCTTTTTTTTTTGAGACAGGGCCTTGCTATGTTGCTCAGGCAGGTCTTGAACTCCTGGGCTCAAGCAACACTCCCACCTCAGTGTCCCAAGCAGTTGGAATTACAGGTGTGCACCACCATGCCCCGCTCTGGTCTTCCTTGTCTTAATACACGGCATTGCCATCCATACACCCAATGAGTCATGCAAAAACTATGAGTCATCCTTGATTCTTCCTTCTTTCACTCCCCCATCAGCTAAGCCTATCCACTCTGCCTTCCAAGTACACCCAGAATTGGACCACTTTTTGCCATCCCAGCTACTTGCTCTCCAGTTTGGGCCAGACATGAACAACTGCTATGGCTCTTTGAACTCATTTTCCAGCTTCCACTCTGGTCCACCTGTAATCTCTTCTCCACATAGAAGAGCGAGCTCTAAAAGATGCATATTGGCTCAAGTTACTTCTCGGCTCCTTCTCCAGTGGCTTCCTGGCACCTGCAGATCACCCCTTCATGGTGAGGCCCTCAAATCTCATCTGCCAACCCCTCCAGTTTCCTCTCCTGCTGCTTGCCCCATGGGTGCTGCACTCCAGCCTCCAGGCATTCTGTGTGCGGCTCAAATTCACCAGTCCTGCTCAGGCTGCCCTTGTAGCTCTCCTCCTTGTTCCCTCTTTCCTACTGTTCAGAACACTGCTCATTTTCTCAGAGACTCCCCAGACCATTTCCTCCTTAGTACATCTCCCTACTGTGCTATGTGTTTAAAATGGCATTTATCACTATGTTAGTTTTTTGTTTATTGATCTAGTATCTGTAATACTTATTACTCTTATAACTCTAGGATGTAGAATAATGCCTACCACCTAGTATGTGCTAGATAAATATATGATAAATAAATAACTGAATGATCGCCAAGTTAAAGATGAGCACATTAATATATACAGAGGCTGAGACCTCCCCCTTGAAGTTTCCATAATATGGGGAAGCTTACTATGTACCCATCTTTTCTGTCTTGAAAGATTTATTTGTCTCATAGTTCTGAAGGGTGGGAAGTCCAACTCTGAGAGCCTACATCTGGTGAGGGTCTTCTTGCTGCATCAAAATTTTGCAGAAGGCATCATGTGGAGAAGACGCAGTAGCAATGCAGAGAGAAAAAGGGGCTGAACTTATCCTTCAATGACGAGCCCACTCCCACCATAACCAGCCCACACCCTTCATAACAGCATTAATTCATACATGAGGGTAGAGCACCTAATCATCCCTTAAATGTCTTACCTCCTAATGCCATCATGATGGCAATTGCATTTCAACACGAGTTTTGAAGGGGACACTAAAACCACAGCATTATTGAAAACTTTAAAATATACTGGATGTAAAATTTCAAATAGTACAAACATGTTTAATTCATAAGGCAAAAAGACCTATAAAACCGACTCAAGAATGCTTTTGTTCATTTCTTTCATTTTAGCTTCTCTAAGTAAGTGGAACAATGGACACTCCAAGAGTTAATCCTCTCTTTAGCTTTGGGCAGCTGAGCAGCCACAGCTACCCAAGTTCACCAGCAGGACATGTGGATGAACTCACCGGCCCTAGAATCCTACCTCAGTGTCTCTGGGTTGGAGAATGCACCACTGTCAAAGCAACTGGGAAACTTCTGGCTCTGTTGTGCAGCCTGAAGATACACAGCTCAAGCTCCCCATCTGCTTTTTCTCATCTTAATTTTTCACTTGTACAAATATTCTCTTTCTACTAAGGGCAAAAAACACTCTTTTTCAATCAATGTTCTCCTCTGGAAAGAACACAAGAATTTAAAAAAGACAGTCAAATCTGATTGATACAATCACTTACATGGGTTCAGAATTTTATATAAATACAAATCTTTTTACTTTCATTACATGAAATAAGTAGTCTTTGTAATGGAAGTTATACCCAAAGTTTCTATACATTATGCATACTTGAATGCATATGTACAGTGTCCTAACACTTGAAATGAGCTTGCTTCTTTGGTTATGTAATAAAGATAGCAATCTTTATTCTTTAGACTATAGCACCAGAGGTGGAGATAGAAGAAACTTTGTTTCTCTTACTAGTTTATTGAATAATCAGTTGCTTAAAAAGTAGCTATTTAAATTGATTCCTAAGGAAAATCTACCTGGAAAATAAAATCACACAGTCATCTAGAGCTCCCAAGGGCTAAGCGATTTGTATAAGGTCAGGCACTCATGACTGGGACCCACTTCTCCTGGCTCCCAGACAATTATTGGTAATGGTTTAGAACTAAATATGGACAATTTCTGGATCCACCATCAGGGTCTCTTATGCAGGCTGTGGTCCCCATGCTAAATATCCTCAGGGAACTATTTGGGAGAAGAATTAAGCTGGCTTACAACCATACCACTGTTAAAAATATATTTTTTTGTTAAGTACATTATAATATTTTTTTCTGTATGTGTCAATACTCACTACATTTGACTACTTTTGTCATCAGTAGCTGTAGTTTATTGGTTTGGCTAATCAGATGAACAGATGTTTATAATCTTAGCCCCACTAACTTCCCTGTAGTCTCCAATTCAATGATATTCAAGTGAGTAGTTTTTAATATTCTACAATGCATTTATCTAGATTTGTAGAATCAAATAAAAATTCAATTTAAAAGAAATCAGTAAGAAACTATAACATGATGAGCATAGCTCTGAGAAAACTGTGTCAGAAGGTGCTAAGTGAGTCCTCGCTATGGGCCTTCCACTTACTGGAGGCTTATTAGAAAAGGAATTTTGTACTTGGAAGTCATATGGATTTGTGTTGGACTTCCCAGCTTTTTCATTTACTAGATATGTGACCTAAGAGTGAGTCAGCTCTCTTAAGTCTCCGGTGACTCATCTGCAAAGTGAGAGAGTGATAAGACCCATCTCAGAGAGTTATGGTGCGTATTAAGTGAGATACGGTGGATAAAAGCTTAGCACCATTTTCCCCCCACATATTATTCACTCAATGAACAGCTACCACTAGACAACAATGGCTGGCTCTACATAGCCAATAACTAGTATTGATAAAATTAAGTGATAGGTTGTATAAGATAATTCAAACTGTAATGTACTATGGGTACTATGGAGACACTGATGGGAATGTGCTTTGGACTGAAAATGGATCATAGGTACCAAGTTCCTGTACAATTAGGATGGAATGTATTGGGGGAATGTATTGGGTTGCTGCTGCTCTCATTTGTGTGGAAAAATTGCACCTTCCAGTCTCTATTTTCGCCCTGTAGTGTTTGCAGTTTACAGAGGCTAAGATATAATTAAAGTTAGCTAAAATCACTCTTATTCTTTTCTAGGCATAGGGCCCGCTTCTCTGCTCTGCCTTCAGATCGCTAATGCCTGTGATATCCGTGAGCACTCATGGTGCACGCGTCCACTCATTTGTCTGATAAGGGTGTACAGCGATGGCAGTGGATTCATCAGTTGAAAGTCTTGCCTCAGGGCTTGGAGCTAGGTACACCAAAGTCACTTGGACATGAAATTCCTTAAAATCTTTCAATTTATTTATCCATTAATTGTAGATATTTGGAAAAAGCATTGGCAATTTGGCAAGTTTTCTTAGAAATTATGTGCATTTAAAAACATGGCTCTGAGTACTCAGCAATTAAAATAACAGAATCACTCAGAATGCCAAGAAATGATCCCACCAAAATACAAAGGTTTAATTTCATCAGGGATTTTCTAATTAATGATGTTTGAGTGGGTTTTAAATTCCCCAACCACATTCCCACCATCCTTACTCACCACATGGGGAAGGTTTAAGCCTTAGGGCACTTTTTAGATGAATACTAGTAGCCGCATTTATGCTGCATGGAATAGCACCAGTAAATGCAATTATAGCAGAAAGGAAACCTTGCATTCCCAGGATACACATCCACACTCCATTACAGTGTCCCATCCGTGTTTCTTTGTTTCACTGTGTTAAAGAGTAATAGCATATGGCTAACACAAACTGTAAAACAAAGTCTTCATTTAATATTTCCCTTGACCCCTCCAAGAGACACTCCCTTGTTTCTACGTGGGTGCTGTTTAGCATTGATGTGTGCAACTACTTTCCAACCAATGATTTCAATGGCAGAGTAGAGAGCAGACAGCTTTGCCTCTAAGACTATATTGGGCTGATCCTTCAATCACAAACCTGGGGAAGATGCATTCAGCTCACTCCAGGATTTCACTGGGGGGTTTGAGAGATTACTTCTGGAGGGGGGTCTTGGTGTCCTTGGGGAGCTGATTCCACTCAGCAGGGTAAGCAGCTCACACACACAGGTCAATTTACTCATGTAGGATTGGGTTTCCATTTTGGCTGCCAATAAGCTCTAAACCCTCTTGCTATGCTGACACACAAGGGGGTTTTCCCTAAGTTACATGGAGACTCAGTAGAAATGAGGCTGAAGTAAGATTAAAGGGGAAAAAAAAGGTGCATAGTGTGTCAAAGGGTTACAGGACATCAGAAAAGTATCTACATATTCTTTTGTGCTCTCCACATCTCTGTAGAAGTGCGTTTTTGGAAATTGCCACATCTGTCACCTTACCCATCTATAATTTCCAGTTCCAAGACTTTGGTTTTTGTGACACTTTAAATTATCTTTATTCATTGCAAAAATACTGTGAAGTTCTTAAATTGAAGTTAACTTTAATTAATTATATAAATAACATGTCTATCCACATAGACTTGCAATGGTATTTTAGAAGCAGAAGTTCTTTTAAAGCAATCTAAGACTGAGATGTTGTGGTAGCTTCTAGGAGATAAAACTGCTAAACATAATATGTATCCTGATACGGAAAAAGGACATTAGGGGAAAACTGAGGAAATCTCAAGTATGGACTTTAGTTAATAGTAACATATCCAGATTGGTCCATTAATTGTGACAAATGTACCCTGCTAATGTTGGATGTTAATAACAGAGGAAACTAGATGTGAAGCATACGAGAACTCTCTACTATCTTAACAATCTCTCTACTCTCTTCACAGTAATTCTGTAAATCTAAACTGTTCTAAAATTAAAATTTATCTTAAAATAAAAAAAAAATTGGGTAACAATTAATCCCGATATAGAGACATGATCGAAGTGGTGATAAGACCAGGACTGCGGTAGGTAATTACAGGTTTCAATGCAGTTATGGCTGTGGAAGTGTAAATATGGAAATAAAAAATAATGAGTAGAAAAATACTATTTATATGCATATATTTGTGTGCCATGAAAACAGAAAATATATCTTTAGATTATTTATTAATAAGGGAGTTAATAATAACAAAAAAATTATTTGAATTCTATAAAATTTACCACTTTCCATTTGAAACTACCCTTTATAAAATTTATACAGGGCTACAATTTGGGAACTGTGGTAGGGGAAATATATAAATAATATATATATAGGGTATATATATACATCCTATATATATATATACATATATATGTAGGGGAAATATATATGTATACACACACATATATATAGGTAGGGGAAATATATATATATTTATTTATTTATATATTTATATAGTATATATAATATTTATATATTATTAATATAGAATATTTATATATTATTTATATATATTTATAAATATATATATATTTAACGTGGTAGGGCTGTAACACATTTGCCTGGTATTATGCTTAAAAGATAATGTTTTACAGCGTCAACATTTCCCAAAGATTGTCCAAGACCTGAAATTAGCAGGGGCAATGTTCTAAAGATTCAGTCACAGGCACCCCGTGTTCTAGAAATCTAGATGGAATAAGATTGGTAATAAACAATTTTTTGAGAAAGTTCTTAGAAAGGTGGTTCTGATATGCAGTTGGGTTTCAAGAGTTCAACAGTTACCTCTTGCCATCAATGAATTAAAAACAATCCAAGCAAGGTAGTTCAATAAGAGAAATAAGCGCAGTAGTTAAGTCTGTTTAACCTGTTTTCTTAGATAGCTTAGAAAATCTACTTCCGGAGATCCTCACAATAGCAGAACAATAATATATAGTGGTCAGTGAAGGCAGGCTTGGTATGATGCAAGGGCGAGGAACCTGAGGCCTTAAGGCCACATGGTCCTTAAGTGTGATCTTTTGACGGAATCCAAATTTTACAGAACAAATCCTTTAGTTTTTAAAATATATTTTTGTCTTTTATACTTTTATTTTATTTTAAAAATGAACATATTTAAAATGCCAAAGGATAAAATAAGTTTCAAAAAAATAATCCTCCCAGATTGATCAGCACTATTAGAACATTAGTAAGCCATAAAGGATAAACTGACTGCTACTGCACTTATGATTTAGTTCTAGCTTTGCCCACCTGACTGGCTCCACTACCATACAAGGCAAGTTTGCAAGAGTTTATGGAGGTTGAGTACATCACTCTGTTATGGGCTTTTGATGATGATGCATTGTGTTTCTGTTTGAAGTGAAATTTGTGAATGGTTGCACGGGTTGACAGTATTTTTTAATTCTGTCTGCTTAACAGCCCATCATGCCAAAGAAGACCAAGAGAATGCTGGAGGAAGAAAACAGATTTTTTCATGAGAATTGGGAATTTCAATATTACCTTCTTTCTGCTAAAGATAGGATAATGTGCTTGCTTTGTGTTACTGCAATGTCAACATTAAAGAAATTCAATGCTCATTAGCATTATAACACTCATAATGACCACAAACATTTGAAATTAGAGGGAGAAGCACAAAAAGTTGTATTGCAGACATGAAAAGACCAAAAGCAAAAGCAAAGATAATTCTTTCAAGCAGCAATAGACCTGGAAATAATGCCACCGAAGCAACTAATAAAGTAGCTTATCTGCTCTGGAAAAAGGGAAGACATTCAGTGATGTAAAAATTGTGAAAGAAGGTATTCTCGAAGTTGTAGGATGTTTAGACACTGATAACATTTCAAAGTATAAGCAACTGTCTCTTTCAAGGAGAACCATACCTAATCCACAGCATGAATTATCCATCAACTTAACAGAACAACTTCATGCCACACTTCGAAAGGAAAATATATGTTATTTAATCGCTTTGAATGAATCAACTGATACTACTGACTAGGGGCAGGTTTTATACTTCATTTGGCTCATAACAGATTTTCTTTGCTACTAAGAGTCACTGGCTTTGGGCATTCTTGTGAACAGAACATGGGGAATAGATATCTTCAACAACTTTCAAGATAAATGTCATGAAGTTGGACTGAATTTGGTAATTTTAGTGAGTGTATGTACAGATGGTGCACTTTCCAAGACAGGAAAACATGAAGGGTTTATAGCACAGCTAAAGAAAACTATTATATTAATAGATCCAGATGCTCTCATCTCTTTTCATTGTATCTTGCAAGTCAGTAAAATCTCTGTGCTAAAGCTACTATTTTAAGTGACACTTTGCAACAAGTTATGAGTATTGTTAACCATATTCCTGCAAATGCGACAGGACATCATCAGTTTCATAACATGCTAAAGTTGAATGATGAGGTATGCAGTGTGAATTTGCCATATCATTCTAAAGTGTGTTGGGACAGGTGTCAGCTAAAATT